TGCCTCTGAGCACAAGGCCTGTCAGTTGGCAGCGCGGGAGGGAGCGGGAGGGAGCGGGAGTGTCGAGAGGTTGAGGGGGGTTAGCAAGTAATTTCCTGACTCAGAAGCTCTGTCCTGGAAGATTTCCTTTCCCTCCTCTCTGCCTTCCACCCCCCACCCCTGCATCGTCCTCGCAGCAATTCCTATTCAACGCGCACGCTCTCTCAATCTTATTGACCTCAGCTTGAGAGGCAAACAAGCAAAGTCTGCATTGGCAGCACAAAGAGACCAGAGCCGAGCCTTTAAACTGGGCTTTACCTCGTTAGCTGATGGTGTTGCGGTGATAAAATGAAGAATAAGCCACACTAAACAGGATAATGCCGAAGCGGTCCATGATCAACAACAGAGAGTCTGATGCAGAAGAAAGAGGCTTAATGTGTGTCATGGGATGTAGTGGCAGAGGAGCATCAGGAGGATGTGCATTGATTTATAGAGAGAATCTTTGGAGGAGATGGGCAGCGGGCACACAAATCCTGACTTCAGTATGCAAATAGACACATGGGTAGGAATACAGATGAATGCAAACAGAGACACTGTGCAWGGAGTCGGCACTGTAGACAACAATTGTCACGGAAGATGAATGTCTGCCTGCTTCAGTTATAAATTTACGGGTGCTCAGAATCAGTTGATGATGGCAACCGAACGTTTACCCGTCTGAGATGAATGCTGGCAGAGAAAAGGAGGATGTGTTCTGTTTCCTAGAGTTAACACAAAGAAGAATTTAACAGTATGAACAAATTAGAACCTGAATTATCTTAAATAAAAGACCCTGCATTTCTTTGAGGACTGCATATCAAACGGTACCTTTCATGCAAGAGTTTGACTTATACTGAGAAAGGATGAGTTGTAGCCAATTTGGTTAAACCCGGCAAATCATTTTGTATGTGATCTCATGATGGCCCATTCAGAGCAGTGCTTCCCCCAATAAGATGTATTGGCTAGAGGGGTCACTCTTGCTTCAGAAGACTGACCATTGTGGTACGAGCACGGCGCCATATTGGAGGGGCAAGCTGTCAATGTAAACAATTTATCTTGGCTAGATTTCTACATAGAATTGCGTTTGAATATTAGTTTTTCATTGGTTAGCAACATTCATTGCAGATGTGTGCATTTTGACATGATTTTGCCTGATATGATAATATGTACTGACAAGCATTTTTATCAAACTAAAAACTAATGGTCGTCAGTAGCAAACTGAGTTTCATTTCTCAAACATGCATGAATGAGTCAAAGCAATACTCTGTATATGTTTCTGATGAGGGGATAACATTATGACATGATATAAAGCTCAAAAAAGTTGATTTTACATGATATTGCCTCTTTAATGTTTCTTTTTGGGGGGGTTGGCTGTGGTGACCATTTTGAATTGCTATGGCACCTGATGTTCAGTTGTAGATGTACACACACAATGTAAAACCCAACAAGTTAACTCAAATGATTTGGGGAAACAGGAGGCACAAATCTATTTAAGTTTTGTAACTTTAATTATTTGAGATTATTTAATTATGYGATTAGAGCTTAAAGAACATAAAGCATCTGTGTTAAGCCAACTCAAATGCATAAGTTTATTAACTCATTTCATTTAGTATGTTGCAACGTAAGCAACTTGTTATGTTGGACAAGTGGCGGGTCTAGGATTTTTCTGAGTAAGGGGCTATCAAGGGGCCAATATTCATAGAGGGGCCAAGTATTTGTCAGCACACAAATCCCTGGTTTTGGTAAGGTGTATATATTTAACCAAACACTTGTAATATAATTTAAAAAAAGCTTGCACAGTAAATTATCCTCATCAGTTTTACATGCATGTTTACAGTACATAGATAAAATACTCTCAAACACACAGCATGTGAGAGAATCCGCCTGTAGAAAAAAAAAACACCAATTCAACACACCTGATAACTGATAACTGATTAACAGACTTTTGTTGAACTATGTAAGGGTTTATCTTACACTTCTTATAACAAGGTTATAAGAGTAATTTAATTAGCAAGGATCTCTTTTATTTTTGGATAAACATTTCTTTAAGGCAAGAATGAATGGACACAAAAAGTAACTCTCAGTCAGTGAATGTTGATTTGAACCATAATATGCTATCATTTATTTTACAAATCATACAAAATTGACTATAGAGTACACCTGATTGTGAACAATTAATGTCCTATAAAAAGTTTTGGGACCAACAATAATAAGCTTTTAACTTCTTAATTGTTAACCACACTTAAATAGAAACACAAACGTCAGCTTAGATGTTAAATACCAGACATTTGAGGCTGTTTATCTTAGGAGTTGGCAAGGGCAAGGTTAAGAAAAAGGTTAAAGAAAGATGTTAGCTTTCCTATACTTTATCTTAAATAATGTGGGTTTTAACCAGAAGGGCGAAGCGTTCTGTGCTCAGCTTTGGTCAGACCTCGACGTCACACACAGCCAGCTTTTACCTTGAGATGATGTTCTGTCACCTGCCAGGTAGATGGGGGTGCTGCTGGAGAATCTGTCTTTAGACCATCGAACAGGGGACTCCAAGGCGTGCTCTTTGACTCGTTTACGTACACGTCAGCCATAACCAGAAGGCAAGGCCTCGACTGGAACCCAGGTTGTAAATAAAACTTCCGTCTGGAGAGTTTCTGAAGTGGATAAACCAGGCGTGGTTTTCCACACTGTGAGGTTCCCCATTGGCGTGAAGGGGCCAAACCTGACACAGTTTTCAGCTTTTGATTCCTCGGAGAGAATCTAGCTGTTACGGTGACTGACGGCGGTCAGTCACCTTTACTCTCTTTCTTTCTCAGTGTGCTAGACGGGCGGAAACTGTTAGTTCCTACTGTTAGTTCCTAAAAGCTTAGAGAATCTATGGTCCGCCCTCCAGAAGGTTAGATTAGAAAAAGAAATTATCAAGGAAAGTGTTAGTAGAACTCGCTGTGCCTCCTGAAACTAAAACAACGATTATTGCTGGTGCTGTGTGGTTCAGAACAACACATTTCATGACCCATTTAAATAATCTGATGAGTACTTATTTAAAACAGAACTGAAAGAAAAATGAATTGCTTCAAGTTCAAAACATTTATAAATATGATTCAGACAAGTAAAACATTGATATTTCATTAACTTAAACCATAAAGATTATTTTAGTTAAATAAGAATTTTCCCACAGAAAAACCATACATAGCTGAAATCATACTGAGGGAGAAAAGAGATCTGTCCTCTCTTCTCCTGTAACTTTGATAAACATTCTCTGATTATCAAAATGCGTAATACTTTCAGTTAAGAAAACGCCAAATCAAATAAGAGAAGATTCTTCTGTTTTTATCTGATTTAGAAGGAAAGTGGCCTTGGGTGGCCTAAATACAGTTCTAAGTGGAACAGAATTTTTGTCTATTAGAAGGCCCATCAGAGGACTGAGAGTCCAAGATAGTTCCTTGATAATTTGACTCGAGGTGACCCCTAMAACTATAATCATCTGATTCAGGTGTGTCAACGCAGGGAAACCTCTAAAACATGCAGGGCAGTGTGCGTTGAGGACCAGGGTTGAAAAACACTGCCCATACCATACCATAGCATACCATACCATAGCATACCATACCATACCATACCATACCATACCATACCATACCATACCATACCAGACAGACGGACGGACGGATCCCAAAGAGAAATTACAGTTCGGAACAACCCGCTCAAGAGATACAGACAAAACACAACAGACTTGTAGAACAGGTGCCCCAGGTTCTGCTGCCATAGACCCCTGCACAGAGCAAGAATCATCATCACCCTGCGCTACCCTCAAAAGAAATACCAACATGAGGATAAAAAGTATAGCAAATGATTTTATTCTGAGGTTTGGCACAAAGGCTACAATCATTGTTTCACCACATACTGTACGTATTATTAATGGCTATATGTATTCTTTAAAGGAATGGTAGGATTTTTATTTTGTAAGTCTGTTCCTGTTGTAAAGTTTCTGGGTCCAATGTCCTTCAGTTACCTTGGTCTTCAGCTCCATTTTCTACACAAGTGCCTCAGATCATTTCTGCCAGTTTATTCTATCATTACTGATCAATGGCACATTCAGTCAGACTTCAAATTACAATTTTCAAAAGTCCTCAAAAGACCTCAAAAGTCTGTTGATTGGTACATTAAACTACTAGCATTTCTCTCAGTTTCTAACAAGAAATCCTGTAAAACTGACCTGAGTTYAAACTCAAGACGTCAGCAGTGCTTCCATCTAAACATAAAACAGAAAGATTAAAGCTTCAGAGTCATCAGGTTCAACATCACCGACTTGTAGCCTTAAATTTAACACAAGAACAGGCCAAAGACGGGAAAGTATGGCTCAAATAAAAGGTAGTTATTGAGATTCTTAGCGGTGATTTTACCTATCACCTTCAAATCCACTGCTGCAGTTATTGAAGTTTCTATTACATCAGCCCTGAGTCTGCTGGCAGCTCAACTAAAAAGTACTTTCATTTGGGTCAAGAAGGTTATCTGATGGTAACAGTCTGCAGGTTACAGCTGTATCACGACTCGGACCATAATGCTCCTGGGGTGTTTTTTCTCATTACAAGGGACTGTCGATTACTGGACTGATAGCCTTGTCTGCTGTAATTGACCCGTAGCTTCAAACTGATGCCATCTGTCTTCATACAGATGTAATGACCTTGTAATATATCGACAGTTTATTGCATTAACTTTGACACTGTGTGACAAGGGACAATTTCCTTCAGGGGCGGGGTCAAGACTGATCAAGGGGTTGTTGACAATTCATCAGAACAAAGTAGGATGAACATMTTTCTGGTTGCAGCAGTGGGAGATRTCTACCTCTGCCTTTTGATTTATTTCTGTACAGTTAAATGTACGAATAAAAATGGCCCCCACTGTGTTTCTTTCCTCCYAAAGATGAGTCCTAACTATTCCTCTCATTGTCGTCTATCATTTAATTAACAGKTAGTTGCTTTATCTTTGTGTTTCAGAGTCGAAACGAACGGTTTGAAGTCCGCGGCCGTCACGGCAAGTCTGTGCTGACCATCAGCGGAGTGCGCCTCACTGATCTGGGTCGATTCGACTGTGAGGCACAAAGCAGGATAGGAGGCCATCAAAAAAGCATGTTTCTCGACATTGAGTGTAAGTATGTTCTGTGTCTTATCTGCTGAATGCACCTAAATGGCTACAAGAAGTGTTGCCAGATGTTTCAGCTTTAAGTTCCTAAACGTTGCAGGAACTTGTTACCCTGATTATAGCTGGTTCAAGTATATAAATATTGCTAATAGACCAACAGCCTAATCAACCATTATATATACAGTATATTTTTATCCATTTACAACAACTGATCCTGTTAAGATTTTCTCTTGGTGTCTCTTAATCTGCACTGGGGTCTCGACCCCAAGTTTGCGAACCGCTGATCTGTTTTGTTTATAAGGCAGATTGTTTTATTGTCTTGTTATCTTGTGTGTGTGTGTGTGTGTGTGTGTGTGTGTGTGTGTGTGTGTGTGTGTGTGTGTGTGTGTGTGT